GTGTGTGTGTCTGTGTGTGTGCGCGTGGGCGTGTGTGTTTGTGTGTGTTTGTTTTTGCAGTGTTCCGAGGACTGCGGTGCGCTTCCTTAGTGTGGCTTAACAGGAACCCGAGGGGCCTGCTTTCAGATCTGGCACCATCTTTGCGGTGAGGCCGTGAAAATCCCCGAACCTTAAGCGAGATTGCGTTGTATCTGCAGCCCACGGGCTTTGAGGCTTTTGCCGCGGGCAGTGAGTGTATCACGCAGTTTTGCGAAAGCTAGGATTCGTGTCGTCCATGAGCCGTGGCGCTTAAAAGCCCCTCGGCCACGGCCACATGGTCGTGCGCTGGCTCCTGATTTCTGCCGTCCAATCATATCTCCTGTCGGCCGAACGCGCAGGGCTCAGCGGTTGCCTTCTTCTCTGGGGCTGTTTGGTCCCATGCATCCTGCAGGCGTTGCTGAGCAGCGCTTTCTGCACGAAGTCGACAGCTTCCTGACTCGCCGTGAAGGGCCAAGAGCGCCTGTGGCCTGTGGCAAGGCTTTCGCATGTGCTGGGGCCGAGGTCACGGCGCCAGGGAGTCTGAGAAGGAAGAGCAGACCAAAACAGCGCTTGTTGCTCACGGAATACAGGACGCCACACGCGACCACTCAGGTTGCTCCTGTGTGTTGAAGATGAAAATGCGCGTGCCAAGCTGGGCAATGTTTACATGCGAGTTCCCGCTCTTGTCTCATGCCCCGAGGAGACTGCGGATGGAGCCCGAACGGATGTGAAGGTACAAGAGCCAGTCTTTGTGTAGACGCTTGAGCTTCTTTGAATTCCTCCAGGAACTGTGGGTTCGTAGGGCTTCGCTCGGTACTGACGTCGGGACAGGACTTAAGATTATGCCTTGGCGGAATCGGAACGTCCGCAGACACCCCGAAGTCGAGGTTTGAGCTGAGGTCTTGCACTCTTCGCCTGCCAGACGTAAACAACCCAGAAGTCGACCCCAACATCGAAGATGCCCCTAAGCCCTCAACCCTGCAGACTCTTAACCCCCAACCTCTGGAAACTGCAACACTTTTACAGAAGCTCGGAGCGCAGATTGGCCTTCCAAAGTGTTCCGACGGCCTCCTGCACCTCGAAGGACGCTACGAGGCCCATTCAGGTATTTTTGGCTACCCACCTTTTCTTGCACTGTTTACAGAGGTTCGCTGGCCAGTCTAATTGCTCACGGAAACACGAGCTTTGCCCTGCATTGTCGCAGGTGAAGGAGGAGGTCCTCGTGGAGGGGCCTTCATGCCGAGTAACCGGGAGCGGGACCCTTAGCGATACCGAGGCCGAGGGTTTTGTGGAAATTCCGAGGGTCCGGTCCACGAAGCCTAGGCGCGGAGCTGCTGCTCTCCGCGCCCGTGCGCTTCCAGGGCAGCACCGTCTTCGCAGGGCAGCTGAGCGTGAGGGCCGTCGTCGACGCTATGAGCGGCCCCTGCATCACCGTCCAGGGCAACTTCACCTTGCAGCACAAGGCACGCCTCAGGCTGGCGGGCTGCAAGAATCAGAATCAGAAAGGTCGAGGAGGTTGTCTCCGCGTGGACAGCACCGCCGAACTTCTTGGTGGCCAGTTGCTCCTGCAGGGTTGCGAAGTGGGGAGTGATGGTGAGGGAGGCGGCATCCATGTTGGAGGCCGCTATCCGCTTGCTTGCCCGCAGCTTCTGGCTTCGGCGCAGCCGTGACTTTTGCACAGGTGCCCTGCGACATTGGGATGCGACCATCGACGCAGCAGGATGTCATGCGGGTGAAGGAGGCGCACGGTGCTCGGGAGGGAAAGCTTCAATGCATGTTGTGAGATGTGCTGAGAGTGTGAGCTGTGTACGTATTTTGGGAGTTGACGGAAGTGCCCAACGGAAGCTTGAAGCCGCCAGCTGCGAATGGGCTCCAATCTGGCTGGGCTGCCAGAGATGGAAGCCCACGAGGGAAAGGGCTGAAGGAGAACGTGTGAGCTTTTCGGCCGAAACCGGTGCCCTCTTGTGCGGTTGTTTTTTCGCCTGGGTGCGCCTGCGATCGTTTGCAAAGATATTGTGCAAGCCGAAAGCTGTGAGCGTAGTCTTCGGGTAAGTCGAGCCCTATCCTGATTTGCAGCTTGCAGGTGCCATTTGGGTGGAGGAAATAGTGATCTCCGGCGGCAACCTGAACATCACGCAGTCTTATGCTCGACAGGATGGAGGCCAGGGTCCAGGGACTTTCAGGGACACGGCCTGTGCTCCGGGGCGGAGGGGTCTTCGATGTAAAGCCTGGGTTTGGGGGCTAGGTGCCCAGCAGGAGCTCCCCCGGGCTCGCTCTTAGAAACGACCTGCTCGGAAAGTGGGGTCTTGGTGGCGCCATTATCATGGCTGGCTCACTGGATATCGATGTCGCAAGTCCCTATTGTGTTAGGCGGCTGTGTCCGACTCTGCGACAAACGCAGGTGCCATCTGGGCGGGGGAAATGGCGATCTCCGGTGGCAACCTGAGCATCGAGGACTCTAAGGCTTCCCAAGAGAATGGAGGCCAGGGCTTGCTTTTTGGGACTTAGGCCGAGGGCTCGCAAGAAGCTGGCACGCCTGTTTGGGGGCTGGTCTTGGTGGAGACTGTGAGACTGTAAGACAGTCATGTTAGTCGACACATGACCCCAAGATGTGTAGTAAGGAGATGTTCTCGCATTGCCTGCTGTTGGGCAATGCTATGGTTTGTAGTGGGACTCTCTCTACCAAGACACTGCCGCCATGTGATGCTTCGGGAAGCGAAGGAAGGTCATCACTCAGATTCTGACAAACACATGTACGTCGTCGCATCGGTCGAGCCACACTGTGAGCGAAAGCAGGTTCGTTGGTTGGTCCTTCGGTTGGGGCCGAGAAAAAGTCTGTGGGACGCAGCTGTCGAGCGGCTCTGCCATGCATGCAGGTGCCATCTGGGTGGTGTACCTGGTGATCTCCGGTGGCAACCTGACCATCCAGGACTCTATGGCTGTCAACAAGGATGGAGGCCAGAGGAGATTGTCGCTGGGAAATGGACTGAGACCCCAGAAGTGGTACGCAACGCTTGACGACTTTTGCTCCTCCTAGGAGGCGATGCAGGTGGAAGGGACATCTGCACAGACTGCAATGGGCCCGAGTTGCAGCCTGTTTGTATCGGGTTGGCCGAGAGAACAGTGTTCACGGATTCAGCCAAATTCAGCTTCAATCTACTTGTCAGACATGCGGAGGAAGATCATGCCAAGCTTGGTCGCTCGAAACGGAACGGGGTAACCTCCATGTTAAGAGGGCTTCGACCGGTTGAAGGTTTGAGGTATGGTTTGAGCACAGCTCAATGAGTTAGCCAGTGAACTCTCTGGTGCGATTGTTCTCGGGCTGTTTCGGAGGCACCAAAGAACCTCAGCCGCTATTCTGTCTTAGATGCTTATAAGCGTATGTAAGCATAACATTATGCAACATAACGTCACAATGTAGAACAAAGTAAACGAAAGCTCATCAGGTCATATCACAGTGCAACAGAACATGGACCTTATTTTTGCATTCTCTTTTGCAGGTACGTCGATTCGAGGAAAGCTCAGGAGGTGTTAGATTCGCGGAATGTGCAGGTGCGATCTTTGCTGTGAACGCCATGATGGTCTCCGGTGGTAACCTGACAATCACGGGCTCTTCGGCTTGTGGGAGTGGAGGCGAGGGGAGGGGAGCTTGTAATATTGAGCTGTCAGGGGCTGTTGAAGAATTCTGCCGGCCCACCCCTTCCACATGCGTGGGAAGCCTTCCCATCTTCGTGAAGGGTAGATGTAGGGTAGCGAGCTCCATGTTGTCGGAGGCGTGGAGGAAGAGCTCCCCGAAAAAAGGATCTTGCTCTTGAGACCCGACCCTGTCTGCACGCAGGCGCCATCCATGCTGCGAAGGTGAACATCTCCGGTGGAACCGTGGCCATCACGGAGTCTCGTCCTTTATGTGGAGGCCAGGCGGCTTCTGCTGGCGCAGGAGGCCGGGATTCGGGGGATGCAGGAGGTGCAGTAGCAAGTGCTACCTCATAGTGACAGCTTTTATGGGACCCCAGAACGTTCACACAATCATCACCGAGCCGTGCGAGGGCGTCTGCAGAGGCTGAGCCCGCAGTGGTCTTGTCCCTCTGATTCTCTCTGCCGTCGTCTTCGTCGGTAGCACGGGTCCGGACTTTTATTGGCAGGTGGATGCAGTTGGAGGTCTGATAGCCCTGGTAGCCTCCTCTCTCACCGGATGTCCAAACCCTGCACAACATCCTCGGCGCCTTTCCTTGACACAATTGCCGACAGCTGCGCAGCAGTCCCACAAGCCAGCCCCCTCAACAATGGGTAACCCGCCAGTGTCGTTCTCGGGACATAAACTTAAAAAGTTTACCACACTATACTCGTAGTATACTACAATATGCTAGTCTACGCTTCGTCTACGAGAATCTCAGTTACTTGGGCCCTTTTTGTGGAGGCTGCGTCTACACGGAGAGCTTCGCGCAGTCCGGGGGCACTGTTCGCCTCCAGGGCTGCGAAGCGAGCAGAGGAGGCCCGGGGACCATCTACTTCTTAGTAGAGTAAGTAGGGGCTTAGGTTTCAGGGTTGAGGGTTTTAGGGTTTTAGGGTTTAGGAACCTTCAACCTCTTTGGATACTGTGATACTTAGAATAGTGGACAAGCAGGTTTAAGATGAGGTGGGGCAGGGGCCTCGGAAGGGAAGAGGGTGGCTTAGGTGCGAGAGCATGCTCATGTCGACTCATATGCACGCAAATGGGCGGAGGCGGCATCTTCTCGCAGAAGATCACGCTTGGGGAATTGGCCGCGCTGAGCATCAGCGACTCCCGGGCAGAACGAGGCGGAGGCGTCTACACGACGTGGATCACCAACGAGGCCAGGGAGTGTAGGAGGGTGCTGCTGAAGCTTTTTTTTTTCCAGCCTGTCTCACCCTTGGTCCTCCAAAGTTCTTCTGAGAAGAAGACACAGCTCTAAGCACGCCCACCGCGGACCCAGCCAGGCCGTGCAGCTGCGCGTCTCCAGATGCTCGGCTGAGATCTACGGCGGCTGCTTCTACCTGGCCCCGGGACAGGCGGAGTTTGCTGCTCCGCTCTTTTTGCGGGATTGTGAGGCCGATGGCACGGGCGGCGGCATTTACGCCCAAGCAGAGCTCGTGGCACAGGAAGTTCGCTGCAGCCGCTGCAAAGCCCCGACTTCAGGGTGCCTAGAGCTCACTTATGGCCAGGCAAGGCTCGGCAAGGTGGCAATTGACACCGGCTCCAGACTTCCCTCCGCCTCTTCGGTTGTGCGTGCCGGGGGCAATGCGAGCATCACGGTTGGCGGAGTCGACTGCCGCGACGCACCCGGCTGCACGCTGGCTGTCGAGCATCTGAACCTCACGCGGCTCATGTGTCAGCAAGGGGAGAGCCGCCAGCCGCTGGCAGAGGGCACGGGCCAGGAGTGCAAGGAGTGCCGTGCAGATGAGATCCGCCTCGTTGCGCCGGACGAGGCTGGGTGCAGGGAGTCAGTCGAGCCGGAAAGCCGGTGTCCCGGATCGTGGGGACTCTGTCAGGAAGCTTCCTGTATCTTCAGGCTAACTAGTCTCGTACATGTTAGTGAGGCCCTGCCAGCTCCAATAGCAAGAGCCAGGCTGGAGATTGGCCCAGCCTGTTGTGTTTTCAGCAGGACGCGCGGTGCACATCATGCCCCAATATGGGCAACCTCACCATTGACTGCACGCCAACGGAGCTGAAGCTGCCGCCCGGCTACATGGTCCGGGCCTCAGTGCGGCTTCGAGCACAGCTGAGCCCCAAAACCAGCAGCTCACTTTGGCCTCGCGGAGAGGTGGACTTCGATCACACTGTGGCCAATGATCTCTCCGGCTGGTACCGGTGCCCCAACGAGATGGCCCCTTTTCAGCGAATTTGCGAGGGCAGATCTTCGAAGGAGCTAATTTTTTTGCTCGCAGGGTGCTGCGAGAGCCGCTGTTGTGGCTAAGGCCTGCCCTGGTGGGCACTTCAATGCCAGCAGCGTCCCTGGCGAGCCGGTGGAGGACGGGGCCGTGGATCTGGGGCGGAGGTGGGTTTGTTTTGGAGGCTCGATCTCGCGCAGGAGCTGGTTCCAATGTGCGAAGAGGGCTACCGCGGTCCCGGGATGCTTGGTGCAAGTTGGAGGGAGCCACGGATCCGGCGAGCGAGAGAGAGAGAGAGAGCGTTCTTACAGGGTTGGGGGATTTATAGTTGACGCAATGCCGGCCTCATCTTGTGACGTTTCACACCAAGACGGCGGAGACCAGGGCGCGCATGCGCGCAAGGGGGAGCTGCCTGCTCTTCTTGGAAGAGAGAAAGAGACAAGGAGAGAGAGGGCCCTGACTTCTGGGTACAGCTATTACTAATCGTAAGGAGCCGCTCACGACGGGGACCAAACCCCCTGCTCTGTTCTCTTCCAAGCCAGCAGCACCGCCAAAGGAGTAGGGAGGACGACAGATCGACGGGTCTCGATTCTGCTGCAGGAAGGCCGATCAACAAACGAGCAGGTCTGCCCAAAAGATGCACATCACCACCTCCACTGCTTCCAATAGAAACGAGCATAACGCATGGCAAGGCAAAAAACTTGCCGACTACGTCGCAGTCAGTGCCAATGGTCCCGCGGCGTAGGAAACCGCTTATGACAACCGCAGCCTTCTTCCTCACAAAGCGGAAAGCCAAGTGCCTACGGGCACTTGGCTTCCTCGAGAGCCCAAACTTTCTCTGCGTTCCTTTGGGAGAGAGAGCCAATCACATGGTTCTGCATTATCTGCTGTACTGCTGGGAAGGCATACTTTTCCAGGTCTCTCTTAGTTGCTCGGTGTGCCGTACACTAAGACAGACTGCAAGAAAGCGAGGGCGGCGGGTACTCTGACCGTGCTTCGAGGTGCACGAGCTGCACTGAAGGCCATGCACGTGCGGATGCGGACATCCTCCGGTGCATCCGCTGCGCCACTTGGACCACCGCACCCAGGAAGGCAGGGAAGCAGGGGAGGGAAAGACGTGGCTGGCGGCCGGGGTGTGCGATTTTCAAGGTGCTATGGTATGTCGGCTTCTTTCTCTTGAAGAACCTAGCCCTCTTCGCCTCGGCAGTGGTCAGTGCCAGGGCCTTAGGTTGAGCCGGGATTGCCGCGCTCAAGTGCTCAAGCGTGCTCGAGTCCCGAGGTGGAGGGCAGCAAGGGCCAGAGAGCCACCAGTGCCACGTTGCTGAACCAGGCGATGTCCTTTGCGGCCGTCGCCGGTGTCACCATGCGCCTCGGAACAGAAGCCGTGATCCGGGGGCATGCTTCAGGGTCTGCGCTGCAAAGGCTTCGTGCTGAGATCTGCTGAGCTGGCGAGGTCGGGCGCCATGCAGACCGCCACCTTCAAGAACGATCTCGACAATGCAGCGCAGGAGCCCACTCTCTCGTGCTCGTGCTGCTTGCATCATCTTGCATCTACGAATCTACTGCTCGCATTCGCAGGTGGGCCTGCAAATGCTGGCTCTACCGGCATCCGTCGCACAGGGGCAAGGCTCCCGCGATGCCGGCAGCATGTCCGGGCAGTGCCTGCTGCAGCTACTTCACATGGACAGCGGCATCCACCACGTGCACGCATTGCTGTCCCTGTGGCCAGCTATGCTTGTGGCACCCCGGGCCGCATTGAGGGTCTCGGCTGCGGGACGCCACTGTGCGCCGGATCTCAGGCAGGCCTTGCCGTGATGAAGGGCGGCTGGCTGGCAGCCGTGGTTGGAAGCAACGTCTTCCTGCCCGCCTTCATCGCCGGATTCGGAAAGTGCCGTGCCTCCACAGGCCTTGTGCTGCTTCTGCATGTACGATCAAGTCGCCTTGCCCAGGTACCTCGTGCATTTCCGGCTGCGGCCTGAATCTGATGAGGACCAGGCCCTTAGCGTGCCTCGCCCGCAAAAGCCATCGATTTGAGATGACAGGCTGAATTGATTCTTCGCGCGCCCGCAGCGCACGCGTAAGCCTTAGGCGCTGCACTTGGACTTCCTGCCGCCCGGACCGCAGATGACATCCCATGTTCCGCTGCGGATCGCGGCAGTGCTGGGCGCCATCGTGGGCTTCTCGGCGCTGAGCGTGAGCAGCTGGATCTACGCCGTGCCTGGGTTGCCGGAGATTCGCTGCGCCAGAGCCGCAGAGCAGTTGAAAAACTCAGATGTCAGGTCAGAACCCGATCGAAGGAGCCGCGGCCGCATGTGGCCTATCTGATGCAGGCTTATCGGCCAGAGTGCGCCATTTGGGAGGCCGGCTCTCGTCAGATCGGTGCTGTGTCCTGCTGTTTCTTGCCCCTGCAGAGAAGCCTATATCTCGATGTATCACGTTCAGCGCATGCTGGCATGTGCACCTGGCCTGTACGCCAGGTCGAGCGGTTGCTGCGTAAGGCCGGAGTATGCCGGGAACATGTGCAGTGAAACAGGGCAAATGAAAGAGATGGACATGATAGCTCACAAGCACTTGCAGTTCTTGTGCCGAATATACTCTGCGTCGAGTGTGGGCTCACACTGAGCCGTAGCTAAGACGAAAAACGTGTTTCTTGACTCAACAGAAAGCCGAAACAGGCTTCTTTCTTGATGAAGATCTTGTTGCTTTAACCCTCTGAACCCTTTGCCAGGTGCTCCTCGCGATGATCGCCGCCTTGTTGCCGGTCACCCTGGCTCCGGCTCCTCGGCACAGCGGCCCCCAAGCCTTGCCTTCAGCCCCCCAAGTGTCAAACCCACAAGGGTCCCAAGAAGAAGCTGCCCAAACCGCCCGTGGGTACAAAGGTACGTATGTATGTCACATATTTGGGCATTGATCTAAAGGTCCTTGTCTTCGGATTTATGCAGAACGGCTTTTTTTTTATGCAAAACAACGTGCCCGCGAAAGACCTGCGATGCGTCCGCGACAGGACAGCAACACTCCGAGAAAGTTTTCACGCAACAGACTTGGGACACAGGAGACGCATAAAGAACATGCAATCATGCTGTGGGTGTGCCCTGTACTGCCCAGAGCTGCAGTACACCCAAAGCCAGGGTTTGAGGCTTGGAAACCATGGACTTGTGTGGGCACTTGCTGCCTCAGCGATTCTGCGGCCAGGAACAGGCCAAGCCAAACTTGTGAGCAGGTCTTGCTTACAGCAACGACTGTTGTAGAATCAGCCTCAACGTCGGAGCGTGGCAGTTTTGGAGAAATCGTTGTAGGTTTTCTGCGAAAGATCGGCATATATATATACACACACATACATACATGTGTGTGTGTAGGTCATATATAGTACTGCGCTGGAGGCCCTCCAGATGGAAGCCGTGACCTTGGTGCTCATCACATCCCTGGTGGCGCATCTGTACTTTTGGCCCTACAAGGCCACCCTCTGGTCCTGTGTGGGGTGCATGCCAGGCGCATCCTGCTTGACCTCGTGCGAGGAAGATGCTTGGAACCGAGCGGAGATCGGGCTGCTGATCGTGAGCCTCACCATCACCGGGATGACCACTTGCATCATCGCCGCTGGCTTGCACTCGCGGTGAGAGCTTTGGCGGGCTCTTGCGATTGCTCAGTTGCTTGGGAAGCGCAGGCCATCGACCGGCACTGGGCGAAGTCCAGCTGGATGCAGCGAGCTCTGGTCTTTCTGATCTGCTCCATTGCCGGAGAAGCCTGGCGGCTGTGGCTTTGAGGTTCCAAGCCTTCCTTCCTTCCTTCCTTCCTTCCTTCCTTCCTTCGTCCTTTTCTTCGGTGCTTCCTGCCTTCGTTCCCTCTCCTTCCCTCGCTCCCTCCCTCCCTTCCTTCCCTTCACTCCTCCCTCCTTCGCCTTTCAGGAGAGTAGCATGGCAGCTTCGCCGAAGCTGAGGGAATCTGCATCGTCATGATGGTCGCCTTCTCCCTGGCCTACGTGGAGGAGCGGCGCCAGAGAGCCGAGGCCAAGAAAGCCGAGGAAGCGTGAGCTTGAGCCAGAGGCGCTAAATGTGCGAAGTCAGAAAATAGAGTTGAGAGCGGCTGCATCGTGTAAGGAGTGTACTATGGCATCAGGTCGCTTGACACAACATTTGTGTGTGTCTACAACGTGACGTTAGGTCCTTCATCCCGACTGACTGGTACATAGTGAACGGGTCTTGAGATTACGTGTGTATGTATGTAAGTATGTATGTATGTATGTAGGTAGGTAGGTAGGTAGGTAGGTATGTAGGTAGGTAGGTAGGTAGGTAGGTAGGTAGGTATACCTATAGGTATGTATGTATGTATGTATGTATGTATGTATGTATGTATGTATGTATGTATGTCGTGCACTTACATATACGCCAAAGGTGAGGAGCCCATACAGGTTAACATACAGATCACCTTTGATAGCTAGATACTCAGGCAGCTCGTCCACATATATGGATCGCAACTTGCGTTCATGTACGTATGGACACAGATAGATACATGGATACGTAAGAGGAGAGAACCACCTTGGCCAGGGTAGCAGGGTGAACAATCTTGGGTTTGCAGGTCTGGGACTTGAGTTTCCGCTTGCAGGGTTTGTGGGACGGGAGGCGTGAGCCTGCGGCAGCCGATTTTACCATCGGCTCGGAACATATTCATTCCAGGCAAGCGGATGAAGAGGAGCTTAAACTCCCCGGGCAGCTGCACTTCTGAAGCCCTGAAGCTGAAACCCTCAAGTTGAAGCCCTAAAGCTGAAGCCCTAAGGCCCTAAGCCTTCCAACGCGAGAATCCTAAACCGTGAACCTCCCCTCAAAGCCCGAGCTGATGCTCTCATCAGCCTCGCTGGCAGCCGAGCCCGCAGGGATTTTGGGGGTCGGAAAATTTTTCGGGTTTAGGGCCCAGGAGCTACAGCGAACTGGGAGCTCTACACATCTACCAACCCTGAGTCCCTTGATCTCCTGAAACGCAGGAGATCGAATCCCGCAAAGCCTGAAACCCTCAAGCCCAAACTCGAAGAAGCACCCCCAAAAACCCTCCAAATCCGGACAAAAACCCTGAAACCCCTTAAAAACCCCCTATCCCGAAACAAAAAAGCCGCCACCAAAAGCCTCCCCAAAAGCAACCCTAACCCCTAAACCCCTAACCCCTAAAC